GACCGACACTTCATCTTCGAGTCCACTAATTGTGACCACATTTTGGACCACTTTTTCCAACAATTTATTTAAATGTGATTTTATTTCATATAATTTGCAATTAATTTTTGGCACCGATTTATGTGTGGTTTTGAAAGTGTATACAAAATAATGGGAAAATGTTTTGTGTTTTGTTTGCGATTCAAAACAAACAATGCATTCGTCTGTCAATTGAAACGTGAATTTAATTAATTTATAAACTTTTAATTCAATCCGAGTTTTAATTATTTTAATATATGTTTACAATTATTAATTGTCGGCAAATATTTTATGTGTTTTTAATTTAATCGTGAATTTAATAGCGATTTGTTTATTGAGTAAACAATCAGTTTTTGTGCCACAAATTGAGGCGAAAAACAATAGTAAACAACAAAAAGTTTATTTAATAATAATTTATATACAAATAAATAGATTTAAGTTTAATATAAAAACATTTATTTTATAATTTATTTCAATTAATTTTATACATATTTTCATAATTTATTTGATAATAATATTTGAATCAATGGTTTTGTTTTGAACGCAAAAATTATGTGACATTTGACTGACATTTTGTGATTGCATTTTGCCATTGATTTTCATCATTAATATAAACGATAATAACTTAAACACAAGAATCATGTCATCGATGGCGTCCTCGACATCGAGTTCATCGGGAAGTGAGTCGTCTTCGGACGACGACATGTCCGGCGACGACAACTCTAACTCTTCCTCCACTTCCGATTCACTCAACCATTCAGTCAATTATCGGCAAGAATTGGCTGAACAGCACTTCAAGAATAATAATGACAACCATTTGAATGCAAATATTAATAATAATAACAATTCATTTAACGCTAGTATTTATGAATTCAATTCAAACACCGATTCCTTATTATCGGATAATTTATTGAGTCTGAGTGGACACAAGTCGGGCGCCACGACTGCGACCGCCGGTTCGGCGATTCACGTGTTTGGCAGAGCCGGTAGTCTCACGGGTTCGCCGCATCTGGCGTTCAGCTCCGCCACCAAAACCACATCCAAACCAAAATCCATTACCACAAGCGCTGGCAGTGGTAGTAGTCCTCCAAAGAGAAAAAAAGGTTTATATGTTTTTCATTCAAGAATTTAATGTAATTTTGTTTTTGTGTTGAAATTCTTAGTGAATTCCGTATATGAATGTGAAAATGATTTAATTTTATATGAAATTTCAATTTTGTTATATTTTTGGCACTAAATTATAGTGTTTTTGAAACTGAAAACTCTAATGATTTGCATATATTAGTTGTTTTCCTTATAAATTGTTAAAACAATTAAAATTTATTGCTTTTGCAATACTTTTTAATTAATAGACTGTTTTCTGGAGTCTTAAGCGCTTTAAAATCCGGATTCATTTCCATAAACAATGATTTGTTATAAAATGTAACATAAATGACACAAAACTATTGGTTATTAATAGAAAATGATTTCAAATTACTTATCACAAGAACTCATTGAAGAAGAAGTGCACAGAATTTATGACATAATTGAGAAATTGATTATAAATGTTGAATAAAAATATACAAACATTTACTGTATATTTATAAATAGTGTAGATATGAGTCCCTTATTTAGTTGCTATACAACCATTAAATATGGAGAATTTGTCCACAAATTGACAAATTCTTGAACGTGTATTTCGTGCCACTCTTTCCAATGGTTGGTCAGCCCAGCCCTCCTTCCCAACCGCCCGGCCTTATCATCTCTATTAATATTTTTGAATTTAGTTTCGCTTTAATATTGAAATCCATTTTTATGCAGACATTTGTAATTTATTAACGTTTTCAATATCGAGTATTTTTTAATGTATAAACAAATGATATGTTTATTATTCTTATGTTTTTCTTGTTTATCAATTAATATCCGAAATGAAATGTTTTAATTAATTTAAGAAATTTATTGTTAATTAGCGGCAAAGTCTAAATCGACCGAAAGCCAGATCTTAGACATTCCGATCACAGACTCGGACCGAGAGATACTGTTAGCGGTCGGCAAAATCAAGCGACAGAAACAGAGGCCGTCTGTCGACCGGTTGTACAATATTTGCAGCAAAATTAAGGACACGTACCCACAGTTCGGCTCCAAAGATGGCATACAAATCAAACTCAATGATATGATTGAGAGAAATCTGATGGCAAAAGTGGATAACGAGAAGGGATCTACTGTCTTAGTATCGTATCGGGAGATGAATTCGGCCATCGCTGTCGTCCAGATCACGAATCCCAAAAGATCGCGCGTTAAGCCTAATCCCAATCCCAGCGGCGAATCTGCCATCACTTTTCTTAATGACATTAAGAGCAAAGAATCGGATAAAACAGACTCTAAAGATGGTATGGATAACCGGTATATGTGTTTATAAATGCATAATTAACTCGATTTATTGTTTTTCTAAACAATTAGCAAATTCTTTGTCAACTTTTTTCAAAGACATTACCAAAACAGGCGATGAAAACAATACAAAGTCTTCTAATAAGTCTCGTCCGTCGAAACCAAAGAAGAAATTGGCGTCAAATGAGTGCAAGAAAGTGGAGTCCACTTCCGCTTCCATTATATCTCCAAATTCCTTCCTCAAGAGTTCATCACTCGATTCGACAATCGATTCGGTAATCGAGAGTACAGTTAAGAGTTCTGTCCTCATGTCTGAAGATAAGGAACTCTTAGAGATCGAAACGAACAAAATTATTGATAATCTCTGCAATAAACCCGTCAAAAGGAAGTCAACTAATGGTATGTTTCCGTCAATTCAACGCTTATTGACCATTGATTTCATGTTATTGTCTCTCTTCAGGCGAATCGAGTGCTCGAAAGCCACGCAAGAAGTCCGCCGAAGCTGTAGAAAAGCCAACGTCTACTCTGATTAGCATTGAAGAGAGTATTCAAACAGTTGTGGCCAAGACTTACAGTCCATCGTCTTCGTCGTCGTGTTCATCATCATTGCCTTCATCTTCTTCAGCGACAGTCGCCGACCAATGGTGTGACACTCGGCCCTCACAACCGCCCTCATCGAGCCATAAGTCATCGCAACCACACCACCACTCGACCCATACATCGCCCAAATCTCACAAACACTCGCAGCCGTCGCACCCCAAGTGCGGAATGTGTGGCAACACCGCCGGTGATAACGACGAACTCATCACGTGTTCGCTGTGCGGAATGTCCGGTCACGCCATCAGTTGTCTCAACTGTTCCGAGCAATTACTTAAACGAATCAAAGAGAGCGCCCGATGGGAGTGTCCTAACTGTAAGAAGTGTGTCATATGCGGCGCCCCAGACGTCGAGCTCATCATTTGCAACGACTGCGACCGCGGATACCATTCCCAGTGCATCCGACTTCCCAACAACTTTACCGGTCTGTCCGCCCATACATTTCTATACATCATTTCTAGTAGTTTTTATGCTATCGTTTAGTGATTGCCATTTAGTCGTTAAAAGTAAATTGCATTACATTTTCACACGTTATTTGCATTTTATTTTGAATGCCTTTTAAAACTTATATTGACTCTAATTTATGCGACGATCCGCTCAATAGCTTAAGAGATTTATAACTAATTTAAATAAATTATAATTTGACCTAAATTTGACAGTAATTGTTGGGCCAATACACACATGATATGACATACAATGTGGGAGTGAGGGCTGTATTTTCTGTTCCCCATATTGTATGGCATTTGAGAGAAACATATGATAATTGTGTTTGAATTGTTGTTAAATTAAGTTTTGGTTAATAAGTAAGTTAAACGCAAACTTAAATTGTATTTATAGTAAGTCTCTGTCCGGTGTAGTGGTTGTGTGTTTGGCAGCACAACAACAATATACAGCCCATAATAGTTGTTATCATTGGCGCCAACAGTGAGTGTGAGCACTGGTAGGCGAGCACTGGTAGCACAACATCTCTCTCTCCCTCTCTTTGCCACTATATTGTATGCATCGATAATACCTTACAATTGAGTCCCAAAAACACAACAAACACTGCGAGTCTGTATGCGTGGTGTGTGTTGTCAAGCACTGAGAGGCCGATGTCTGGTGTCTATATCTTGTCCGCCAAATTAATGGCCAAAAATGATACAAAAGTCATATAAAATTGTCTGAAAATGTTGTTTTACTCGTCAAAGTGGTCCCCAAAAGCCCTAACAATTGGTCACATGCTATGCGAGCGACTCTTCGTGTGAATCAAAACATCAAACGTTTACGAAATGTGTGTTATTTTTGAGCCAAACATTGATTTGCTTTTTATAGTTTGCACTCTCTTTGGCCAATAGTTGTCGTAATCACTGTTATATCCATTAGTTTAGGACATTAGCCATGATTTCCATTAATTGTTGACTCGATTTTAATGTAGTTTTTGGTGCCATAAATACCATTGAATTATAGATTAATTTATTGATTGATTGAATGCTTTTCTATATATTGAGAAAATGTATGCATTTTTTGTGGCCTTTTTTCTCAATGGCTTTTTTGCGATGACTTTCTGTTTGTAAATACAGTTTTTTGTCTGTCATTTAGTGTCCAAATATATCTGCGAAGACTGCAAACCAAAGCCACCGGCGGTTAAGTCGTCCGCAACGACAACGCCGTCGACGTCGTCCGCGAAGAAGTCCTCATCTCATAGCGTGTCGTCGACGACAGTATCGGTCAATACGAAGGCCGTAGAGAAGCGTTTGGTTGAACCGGTCGTAGAGTTGCTGCCGATTAAGACATTGAAGCCATTGAAGCCATTGAAAGGCCAAAGGGTTCAGAAAAGTGCGGCACAACTGAAGGCCGAGAAGTTGAGGCGAAACGCGGAAAAGGCTCGCAAACAGAGGGAGAGGAGGGCTGCGATGCGGGCGCGCATTGAGGCCACTAAACAGAAGACAGTTGTTATTGAAAAGTAATTGATTTGTGAAGCGATTTACGGTTCCCTTTAAACTCATTGTTTGTTTGGTATCCGTAGAGCGAAAGCCATTAAAAATTCGGAAAACATCCAAAAGTCAGTGAAACGTAAGCTATCGTTGAGCTCCTCATCGGCCGAATCGGACGAAGAGAACGCAAATAATTCGCAGCTCAAGTGTTTACAGGACGGCCTCTCGCAGTACTTCACGCCATCCAACCGACGAAAGTCGAGGAATAGTTTCACTGTCCAGGAGGAGGACGACGACTCCAGCTCTGAGGTCTGTTTGATAGACAATTGATTTGTTAATTGATTTGTTTTAATCCTTGTTTTTACTCATTTTTACGACACATATAGAGCGAAGTGCCGATGAGACCGACACCGAGACCCACACCCAGGCCGACGGCCATTAAAGAGGAGTCGATTCAATCGACGCCAAAGAGGACTGTTAAGAGGCAGTCAAAAATTACAGAGTTTGCAGTTAGGAAACCAATGCCATCGAGCGCTCCATCCAAAGGGCACCCCAAAGGGGGCCATAGAGTGAGTGCCAGAAAACGACAATCGCTTCCGCAGAAGAAGACGGCCGCAGCGGCGGTGACGAAAAGTCCCCGACCCGTGAGAACGTCAATACCTGTTCACCCGAAAGTGGCTCCGATGCCAATCTCACCCCCGATGCGGACAATTCCCGCCAATATTCCGACCGAAGCGGACAAAGATATGTTTAAGAAGGCACAAGAAGAGGCGGAACAGCAGTTTGTGACCACAATTTTGACGCCTTTGAAGAGACAACCAAACATTTTATGCGAAACTAAAGTATGATTTTGTTTTAAATTACTGTAAATTTTGGGGATTTGTTTTAAACGGTTTGTTTTTTCAGGACAATAAAGACAAACCGCCGACAGAAGCGTCGACATCGACTGAATCTCCCGGCGCTCAGCCGGCAATGCGCTGTCCGGCGGCCATAGAGTTTGGCAAATACGAGATCGAGACCTGGTATTCGTCGCCATATCCTCAGGAATACGTTAGACTTCAGAAGTTATTTATTTGCGAATTCTGTCTCAAATACATGAAAAGCAGTTCCGTTCTCGAGAGGCATAAGGTTTGTGTACAACAGTTGCCATTGATTTCCATTGCAAACCACTAATGAAACTATTTTATGGACAGAGAAAATGTGATTTATTCCAACCGCCGGCGACTGAGATCTATAGAGCGAAACACAAACTGCCATTCGATGACGAAATTGTCGAGTTGTCGGTCTTCGAAGTCGATGGTCTCGTCTCCAAAATCTATTGTCAAAACTTGTGTTTATTAGCGAAGCTATTCTTAGATCACAAGACACTGTATTACGACGTCGAGCCCTTTCTCTTCTATGTTCTCACTCTTAATGACAGCAAAGGTTTGACTTTTGTTTTGTTTTATCCGCAAAATTCTTAACTTTTAATGTAAACTAATGTCTAATTGGGGTTTTCTTTCTAAAGGCTGTCATTTTGTGGGCTATTTCTCTAAAGAGAAACACTGCGCCCAACGCTATAACGTGTCGTGTATTATGACTTTACCTCAGTATCAACGGTGCGGTTACGGAAGGTTTCTCATAGAGTTCTCGTATCTGTTGTCCCGCAAAGAGGGTTTGGCCGGAACTCCGGAGAAGCCTCTCTCCGATTTGGGACGCATTTCATATCAATCCTTTTGGAAGTCAACTATTCTCGAGTACATCAGCGGTCGCCCCAAGACGTCCATTGAGGAGATCTCAAGCGCCACCGGAATGAATGTCCACGACATCAGCGCTACTCTAAATCACTGCAAAGTCGTTAACAAACAGAACGGAAGGTTTGAATCCGAGTTTATTTTTGTTGAATTTGTGTGTTTTGTCAGTCAATACAATTGATTGCTTGTCTCTCATGGGAACAGTTGGTGCTTACAAATTGGTCCGCAACTGACGAGTTGTCTAAAGCGTCCCCGAATTGCCATCGATGAGGAGTGCTTGCGATGGACGCCACTCATCGCACCGCCGGGTCTTATAATCCCCGAAGAGTTTTATGCAAATATGCCTATCGTTGAGAGGGAAGAGCCCGTCGTTAACGAGAATTTGCCGCTCATTCTGGACTCGTTGAAGAAGAAGCGACGCCGGCGTTGGTATAAAGCATATCACGGAAGGAAACGCAAGAGACGTAACGTTAAGAGTAAAGACACGGACAAAGCGTCGGCCGACGCCGACGACGACAACTCTCAGCGACACGACTCGGATGACGACGACTCGCAGTCAGCGCACGCCTCTCAGGACGTGTCTCAAGACGAGGACGACTCGGCCACTGAAGAGGAGACCGAAGAGGAGATCATGCGATCCATTCAGAAAGATAAGAGTCCCGTCGATATGCATGATATGAACGGACACTGCGATGAGAGCGTCTATTTAGAGCCGACGAGCGTTAAGACAGACACTAATAACGATAATAATGAGGATAATAGAGAAGACGAGACAATGCATTCAGACAATGAGAATGAGGTGATCAAAGGGGACACGATTTGTGACTCAAGTAAATTGGATAAAGAGCTGTCAATCAGTGATACAAACAATGAGTTTAATGGCAATAATAGTGAAACTAATAATAATGACGAACGCATTGATAGTGAGCCCAAATCGGTTCCCGAAGACAAGCCACAGAATAGTGAAGAGAAATCTCAAAATGAAAATTTAGACAATTCTAGTGTTGAGGCAAATAGTGAGCCAATTGTCGACATTAATAGCAAGAAAATTGATTCAAAGTTAGAAACGGATCAATTGGATGCTGAAGACAAGCCCTCGCCAGCGGTCGATACGCAACGTATGACAGCCATACCTAAGAAGCACAGGTGGCAGAGGGCTGTCGTGAACGCCACTGAGTCCGACGACGACAATGATTTGGTTCACAACAACACTAATAATATCAATAATAATATTCATGACAGCAATAAAGATAAACCACAAGAATGTGTGGCAAAACCAGTGAACGAACAGGTATTTGAATGAATACATTGAATGTTGAGTTTAACACACAGACACCGGGATATGGTTTCAATCCGTTGATCATAATATGTACCTTTAAATTAACAATTATATTATTTTGTATTAAATTTAAGCACAATTGAGTTCTTCTAACTTTTTAAACGACAACTCATTTTTGTAAATGATAATTAAAATTCAATATACATTCCACTCATTTATTATAAACTCATTTTTGAATAAAAGTACAAATCGTTGATTAAAACTAACCGTCTCGTAGAGAATGATTGATTCATTGGATTTAATATAGTATAGAGTTTTTATACCAATTATACCCAAACACAAGACCCGCACGACTCTTATGTTATGCATTGTTTGATTATTTTTTTACTTCTTGAATGCGATTAATAGTAAATTAATGAGAAAATTGTTGAAATGAATCATTAATTTTAATCTCAATGTAAAATCTATTTAATTGGTTTGAGATTAGGAGGGGATTGGGATGAGAGTGTGTTTTGCTTATACCTAATGTTACCCTCAGATTGAATGCCATTTATATTAATTTGATTTTCAATTATAATTTAAAGACAAATCAACAGCAAAATGAGCGGCAAGTGTCGGCCCAAAGCGCGGATCAGTCATACTATACGCCAATCCCCACAATGACGGCCAGTAATGACATCGACAGGCGGTCGGCCGTCGCGCCCGAGTCGGCGCCGCAGCCAATGATTAACGAGTCCTTACAGCTGTCGGTATCGATTCCGACGACCGCTGTCTCATCGATGGTCACGCATTTAGCGCAACCCATACCGCAGTCTCACCGCAACTCAGCGCCCAATACACCCCAACCACACACTCCGGTCCATCACTCGGTGTCGTCGCCGATGACTCCGCAACAAATCTACTCTCCGGTTGGCCCGCATTCACAACAATCGTCTCCATTATCTCACACACACTCACAGCCGACCACACCGTTAGCACCGCAACCATCGCCACAACAATACCATAACGCCGTGCATAACGTGCCGTCACCTCAACCGCAATCACACGCCCCTCAGCCGCCGCCGCCCGTCATGTCGTCCACCAAATCGTCGCGAATGCATCAGAGAATGGATCAGTCAATGCATCAATCGCTGGCCACCGGCGCAGACATCTCGTCCCAAATGCCAACAGCGGTTCCGCCCATTCATTTGCCACAAACCAGTTCTCATAGAAGTCATCGAAACAAATCTCATTCGAGTTCGATATCGAAATTACAGCAAATGACGAACGGAATCACTGAACCATTGTCTCAATCCGCTGTATCTCAAGGTTTGCCATCGTTTTCATCGCTTTAATCGATGAATTGAAAGTATGAGTAAATTCTTAACCATTTGTGTCTCCCCGGCAACAGGTCTTCAGGCGAGCGGTGCGTTGACAGCACCGGGACTTCAATACCCGCAACAATTCAGTCAGAGTTCAGCACAAAGTGCTCGCAATTATCAAAAGCAATTGGCGTCACAACAGTCGCTCCGGCAACAGGTCTTCAGGCGAGCGGTGCGTTGACAGCACCGGGACTTCAATACCCGCAACAATTCAGTCAGAGTTCAGCACAAAGTGCTCGCAATTATCAAAAGCAATTGGCGTCACAACAGTCGCGACCCTATTATCCGCAAATAGCGCCGAACCCAATGGCAACCACTGCTCAACAGTACCAGTACTACAACGGCGGCTACGCCTACGGCTCGGCGGCGCCGCAAATGCCGCCGTCGGCCAGCGTTCAGGCGTCGGGTGTGGCCGGCATTCGACAACAGCCGATGACCCAGTATTTCCTGCCGGCGCCGCAAAACCCTCCGCAACACTACAACGCCTTCTCCCACAACATCTCACATAACATCAATTCCCTGCCATTCAATCCGCAGCAGAACTTTATGCCAACACAACAGCCGTTCTTTGATTACTATCACAACCATAACCAACAGATGGGCGGCAATAGTGCCCGACGATAGGCCGCAGCCACCCATACACCGCACCCGTCGTCGACACCCTTTCATTGATCACTCATTATATAAAATATTCATTTCTTATATTAAATTCATCACAAATTTTATATTCAAAAATCAAATAAAACATTAATTCAGTTTAAATATAGACACGTTTTTCTCGTTCAGTAATTTTAATGCAGTTTTTGTCCACATTTTATGTATATTTTAATGAGATTTTAATCTGTTTTTTGTACACCTCTTCTACTCTTTATTTGATTTGTTTTTGTGATCTCTTTCTGTGTTTTTTATTTATCGATATTTTATTTCAATAGTCGTTATAATTATAAAGTTATCAAAAAGTTTTTTATGAAATTATAAAATATATGTAAAAAACATTTTTATGATTTATATATTAATTTGAAGAGTAAAAGGATTTGTAAATTAAATTAAAGGCTAAATATAAGGATAGACTGAATGCAAGTTTGTATAAACCGAAGGAATTTTATAATTAGTATTAATATTTAATTTGATAAAAATTGTTTAAAACGTATTATAAGTTTATTTGAATAAAAAATGTTTGAATGACTTAAAGATATTTGCATTTAATTGAAATGTTTGGCACAAAATCACGATTTAATCCATCATTAATGGAGGTAATGGTCGAGAAGTCTACAATAAAATTGGGTGTAATTCGCGATTGAATTAATTTGTAAAAAATTATACCGTATTTATAGCCTCTTTATAGCCCATAGTTATGTTAGACTTGAAAATAACACGAGTTGTTTCACAAATAATTACATAATGTTTGTTACTATAATGAATAATTGGTGATGGTAGATTGGGTGGTCATATGTTACATGTTTTGAGGCCCTCTGACGTAGTAATTTCTTAGGGTCCAACGCCACACATCTTGTATTGGGCGCTCACACCATCTTATGGGACACACCGCCCGTCCCCGCCATAGCTTCACCGCACAGTCATAACACCAACACTTGTCTCCGCACGGATACAGAGAAGCATTAATGCAGTTTTCGAGACAACTTCGGCACAAATTTCTGATTGTATTGACCCAATCTATACAAACAGTGCTAACTATTTAGTTCACTATTAATTAGACATCAAATTGATGTACAAAACATACCAAGAGTTTGTGTCCCAATTGAACTCATTTGTTGCTTATGAAGTGAATTCGTGTCTTGTATGACGGGTTCTGGTGTCCAATTATTATGGCTACAAATGTGTTTTCATTGTATATCACTGTTAATAGGTTTGTGTTTCTAGCCTTACGGGTCATATGCGTGCATATTGTCAACGGTGTGCGGCATCGGATGAGTCAAATAATAGCCTTTCAAAAAACCATCCGTTTGTGTATCAATTGAACGATTCATTTGTTGCTTATTCTGTGATTCCATCGCTTCTTCACAATTGCCTTCACTTCCCGATGAACTCGATGTCGACGACGCCATCGATCACATGATTCTTGTGTTGAAGTTATTATAGAATTATATTAATGATGAAAATCAATGGCAAAAATCAAATCACAAAATGTCAGTCAAATGTCACATAATTTTTGCGTTCAAAACAAAACCATTGATTCAAATATTATTATCAAATAAATTATGAAAATATGTATAAATTTAATTGAAATAAATTATAAAATAAATGTTTTTATATTAAACTTAAATCTATTTATTTGTATAGAAATTATTAAATAAACTTTTTGTTGTTTACTATTGTTTTTCGCCTCAATTTGTGGCACAAAAACTGATTGTTTACTCAATAAACAAATGGCTATTAAATTCACAATTAAATTAAAAACATGTAAAATATTTGCCGACAATTAATAATTGTAAACATATATTAAAATAATTAAAACTCGGATTAAATTAAAAGTTTATAAATTAATTGAATTCACGTTTCAATTGACAGACGAATGCATTGTTTGTTTTGAATGCAAACAAAACACAAAACATTTTCACATTATTTTGTATACACTTTGAAAGCACACAGAAATCGGTGCCAAAAATTAATTGCAAATAATATGAAATAAAATCACATTTAAATAAATTGTTGGAAAAAGTGGTCCAAAATGTGGTCACAATTAGTGGACTCGAAGATGAAGTGTCGGTCGGTTTGTTGTGTGCCGTCAGTGNTGTATACACTTTCAAAACCACACATAAATCGGTGCCAAAAATTAATTGCAAATTATATGAAATAAAATCACATTTAAATAAATTGTTGGAAAAAGTGGTCCAAAATGTGGTCACAATTAGTGGACTCGAAGATGAAGTGTCGGTCGGTTTGTGTCGTCCCGTCTGTGAGTGTGTTGTCTGTCATTCAGACAATACTTTCCATTCATATAATGTAATCAATGTTTGCGTAAATGAATTGATTTTTTATTGTCTCCCAAAACACTCTCTTCTCGTATAGCATAACAAATGGCGGTTCCATTGAATACTCCATTCAATCCATTGAAAGCCATGCGATTCTAGGGTTGACCACAATATTACATGTCATGCATTCCTTTACCACACATTTGGTACTCTTTTATACAATAAATACATGGCATTCAATATACGGTTGTATTACTGATAAATGGGTCCACATTTTAAAGCGCCAAATGTAGTGAAAGTAGATTTTTGAAGTGAATATTGAATTTTAGGAATAAAAGTTTGATAAACTTAATGAATGAATGAATGGTATGTTTAGCACAAGAATTACTTGTTTTGCGATTCAAGTAATGATCCCTTTCTTAAGAATGCACTCAAACACTATATGAATGCCAGACATTGTTTGATTGTCTCCTAAATAATCCAAATCTAGACTAAATTTGCTTTCATACCAGTAATCTGGTGTAGTTATGCGAACACATATAAACCCCGATATTACTATTAGTTTAATTGACATGACAAATCTGCAACAAATTTATATAATTACTTATATACAGCATAACTAAACAGAGTGTCCACAAAGTCATTGCCACGGCTTTAGAGCATTAATACCTCAATTTACCGAAGAGTGAAGACTAGGACTTCGGGACAGTTCTAACACAATTGGCCACTTCTGTGATGACAGCGTCACAAATGCAGTCATGTCTTCAGCCACCGAATCGGCGGATGAAGTGATGGCAGAAATACTCAAACAAAGGGCACTAATACTGACAGCACTTATCAGAGTAGACGGAGACCGCTTTCACAGCAGACAATGGCCGCAATGTCTGTTAGGATAATGAACGTACAGTTAAGGCCCTTCACGTTCTTCACGGGCACCGGAGAGCTGATGGGACACGTCTGGTCGGGAACCGCATCCCAACCCACGACTGTATTTCAGGCAAATTTCCTATTAGGCGACTACTGGTCGACACATCCATTGATCAATGGTTTGATTGTCGAACAAAGTCTTAGAGAAATCTTATCATTAGATCTAAGCGGAGAAATTATAGTGACAAATAACTGAACCATTATCTCTGTTGTATCTCAAGGTTTGCCATCGTTTTCATTGTTTTAATCAATGAATTGAAAGTATGAGTGAATTGTTAACCATTTGTATCTCTCCGGCAACAGGTCTTCAGGCGAGCGGTGCGTTGACAGCACCGGGACTTCAATACCCGCAACAATTCAGTCAGAGTTCAGCACAAAGTGCTCGCAATTATCAAAAGCAATTGGCGTCACAACAGTCGCGACCCTATTATCCGCAAATAGCGCCGAACCCAATGGCAACCACTGCTCAACAGTACCAGTACTACAACGGCGGCTACGCCTACGGCTCGGCGGCGCCGCAAATGCCGCCGTCGGCCAGCGTTCAGGCGTCGGGTGTAACACAAACTTTCAAACTTAATTATTTGAAAAATATTAAAAACTTAATATTAAAAATATTTTATTGTTATTTATTGTTAAAACAATTAAATTATTAGTATTTGATTTAAAAAATATAAGATCACAATCTTTGGCAACTTGTTTGACAATTAGTTGATATTTCTCTCAAAAACATTATTAAATTATTAATTTAAATAAATTGGAAATTATAAAATGTAATTTCATTTTTAAAAATCATTATTAAACTCGAGTTTTACAACAAACAACAAACACATGTTTAAATACATGTTTAAACACGTAATAAATTCACTAAAACTTGAGTTTCATTTAATCAACGAATTATTTAGAAAAGAATAGCAAGAAATGAGTAAACAATTAAAAAACATATTTTCTGTGATAATTGATTGAATATCTAAAACACTGGATTCACTGTTCATAAGAGCACACATTTTATTATTATCCCGATGTAAGGCATAGGACACGGATTCGCCCGTCTGTTCACGACATATACTCGAGAGTCACACTTTCAATCACTTGTGTACAAAAGGAGCATATCTTGTGGCCGTCTTCTTCCTTTACCTTTAATAGACAATTATAGCACATCTGGTGTTTGCAACTAAGTTTGCTATTAATATACTTCATATCGTAGCAGATATCGCACATCACTCTCTCGCCTATAAAAACAATGCAAACAATTTAGTTAAGTATGAATTAAACGTCAAATGGATATAAAATAAACATACCACCAGTTTGTGGCACATGAATCAATTCGATGCCAACATCATTGCCGTACATATTAATGAGTGCCCAAAGTTGGCCATCAGTTGAGACACCCTTTAAGAAGATACCTTCATTATTGCCGTTCACGCCGTAATGAATGTCTCCAGTCTTAGTCACGTAAAAGTCGAGAATATAGTCTTTGAACGCAAACTTCTCATCTAAAGCGTTGGCCCAAATTGGTTTGGCTTTCAGGTCGGGAACATTACTCTTGGCATTAAGTGAACCACTATTCTTGGGATCGTTGGATGTGAAGCCAAAACTTATGCCTCCACTTGACATTTGCTTCGAGACATTCAATATTTTGAACCAAACCTTTTCGTTGATATCAATTGGGCGATGACTGAAAGACATGCCGTAAAAGATCGAGGTTTTCTTAGCCACTTTCGAGCCGTCCGAAAGCTCTACTTCTTTGCCTTTACTCGAGTGAAA